TTCTAAGTTAACAAAAACACAACTATTCCTATATTCAGGTGATTATACACTTATGAAAACATACCTAAGAATGTTTTATTCCATTTCTGCCAATAATGTCTCCTAAATGTTACAAACGGGACCTTTAACTGATCAATAAAGCTATTAGTTATACACTATTGAAAACATACGATCTATGAATAGATCCTCCTTAATGTTACACGCTGGACCTTTAATTCATCAATTAATCAAGAAAATAATCAGCAGATAAATCAATTATTAATAATTGTTAGTTGCGGCCCCAGATTGACTGCATGTAACTGGTATCTGCTGTTTCACTATAGATTTCTCAGCTGAGAGTCCCACAAAATATCCAACATGTGGACCTTTTTGCTAAGAAACTGATTTCCAAAGTCAATAATAAACCTTCAAGCTCAGGATTTATATAAATGTGTGTATAAAATGGTAAATCTATTGATTACTGACACTGTTTACTGTTTCTGATTCTGCTGTCTGGCATCTCCCATGTTTCTTATCAACGTCACGTCTCCTTTGCTTGGTAATTTACCAGCAGTCATGAAATAATTACGACAACAAACAACCAACCAGGCCAAAAATACAAAGTGCAAAGCAACAGAACACAAGTGTTTAGGAAGGTAGATGTTTCTCGGGTTAAGGCACCTCGTGGAGGAGTTACTGGCTGCAGGAACGCTGCTGCTGCTGCTGCCCAGGAGGTTGGCCAAACCTGGACCGGCCAGTGCCCCGAGACCACCTGATATTCAGAAGAAACATCCATTATTCTCCTGAGATAAACGATAAACTGTATTTACCAAGATGCTCTTTTGATTAGCCAGTTCTCACACGGTCAGCTCTGCAGCCCTTGAGGATTTATTTAAGAAGGAACGTACCGATCCCGCCCAGTCCAGTTGGTCCAATGAGCTGCATCAGCTGGTTGTGGCTCATGTTACCCAGAAGGCTCTGCAGACCTCCTTCCCCTGCACACGAGACAAGAACAGGTGACTTCAGGTTCTTAGACATTAAACAATCAGGGTTTGTGAGCGGCTGTTACCTCCCAGAGCTGACAGGTCGTGTCCTCCACTGCCGCCGCTACCAAGAGTGCCAGGCATGGGCGGGTTGTTGAGATACTCGTTCACTTTACGGCAGTTCTCCTCATCCTTGTCGGTCTTTGGCTCCTAAGATCAGAAAAAAACAGAACAACCAGAGGTTTCATCCATTAGTTTAACTGTTTACACATGAATCTGTTTATTAAGTTGTTGTTTAGTCGTTTTAGATATTATTTCCATTTGATTTAAATTCAAAATAAACTGGAACGATGCAGTAAGAGTTGGTTAGATTATCAAGTGCCAATGCTTATTCTGTATTTATTTTACTGTCCAGAAATTCCTTCCTCCCAAAGATTTTAACACCTTTTAAAATTGTATTACGTTAGAAACAAATACATTCCTCACACAGCAGTGTAGTGAATGTGTTGGGAACTAATTTAAGCTGCAGACTAAAACACATTTGATGCTCTAGTGAAGGTTTACGGCAGCAGGACAGTTACTGTAGCCAAAACAAACTACTGCACATGTTTATCATAATGAAGGAACATGTAACCAAATACAACAGAGCGGCTCTCTGATGTGTTTTTATACGTTTTAGAAAACAAAGGAGCTCCATGGCACAGAGGAATAAGATATATCAGGCTTTGGTTACACAGGTGATACTTGTTAGCACAATGAATTCATTGTTAATTTTGGTCTTTTGATGATATTTGTTTACAGTATCCTTTAATTTCTGATATAAAGTATGCACGTCTGCCACAATGCAACTTGCTGAATGTTTGTTTTTGTTGCAAAAATACTGAAACTGAACTTCTGTATGTCCGACATAATGTACAAGTGATTTTAATGGATTTAAATGTTTGTCTGAATGTGTTTGAATTTGAATTGCAGTCTCTTTCATCATTAAGTGTTTTAATCAAGTGACTACAGACGTTCCAGCTGCGTACCTGCATCCAGAAGAAGAGTCTCTTGGAGCCAGCTTTGAACTTCAGCACATAAACCCGTCCGGTGGTGCACTGGTTCACCCGCTTGAACTCGCAGTCGTCGGGGAAGATGATCAGATCCTACGTCAAGACATCAAAAAGGGTTAATATTAAAAAAGTTAAACACCAAGCCAGTATTATATTACAAGCGGACAGGGTCACCTACATCATCCACGTTCCCAGTGGTCCGATCCTTCCAGCAGAAGTGGATGAGGGAGTCGTCGGTCTGCTGGATGTAGACCTGACCTTTGCGCTTGTCAGGGGTCACCGTGCTGCCCTTCATGGTCATCTTGCCGGCCCGAAACTCCACCAGGTACTTGCTGGAGGAGCCGCGGGACCCAGACACCATGCTGGGGAACAAAGCTCCAGAGGCCATGATGAGCAGGACAGACTGCTGCAGGGGGGGGCAGACAGGAGGAAGGCCCTCAGTCACACTTACACACACATATGGGCTGTGATTGAAACACTGGTTGGGGGAGCAGCTCTGGTCAAACACTGCTGGTGATCTGCTGTGTCACATAAACATGTTATCCAGCTGTAAATTCATTTATGCACATTTTAAATAGCAGTTCTTGTTTGCACATTCATTCTGTACATGTTTCCAGCCTCCTTGCCTATTTTAATGTATAGCTTTTATTTTGTTACTACCATTCAAGGATAATAAGACTCCCCCACAGACTGACACAAAAACAACATATTTGCCAGAGAATATGATGAAGAAGCAGATTTTAAATATAACGGGACTGGAAGAGAACAGGTCCCAGTGTTCCCATTAGAAAGCAGCTACTGGAGCAGTAGCCACAGATGACTCTGCATCCTGTAGCAAGCAGTGTGTTTACAGCTCAGTGGGGTCACGACTGAGCCACAGTTTCACATTTAACACACGCAGACTGAAAACACAAGCCGGTTTCTACGCCAGTAATTCAAAACACATTCAGGAATATGATGTTTATACTTACATTCACTCACTGAAATATCGTTCAGCCGGAGAACAGGCAAACGCACTGAAGATGATTGTGATTGGCTGGCTGCCGCCGGTGCTTCGCTATGATTGGCCGAACCGTGTGTCAATCATGAGGGCTTTAAATCCACTGCGCATGTTCGGTAGAGATAGCACAGCCTGTTAGTTATACTGTTTCTTTATTTAGATATAGATCAGATACATTTGGTACTATTTATTATAATTATTCATATTTTCTCATTAGGCATCCTTTAGTTTAGTTGTGACGTATTGCTTTATTAATGGTTAATAAATAAACTGTGTTGTAGATCAGTTAATACCCATTAATAATAACATCCTCTGGAAAATGTCTGCAGAGGTAATTAACTATATATTAAGCATTTATTCATGATTACTGACATTTATACAAGCATTATTACCAAATATGAAAACAATAAATGCTGAATTATTACCTGGGTGTATATGTGTATATAAATAACTGTATATGTTTTATTTATTTTATGTTATTCTATGAAATTTAATCGTTTTCTGTGTGTGTAGCATGAAGTGAAATACATAATCACCCACTTCATGTATATAATGTAATATATCACACTACCCACTCAATATTTATTCCTTTGCTATATTTGTTTACAATTTACAGAAACATTTAACTTGTATATATACTCTGTATGTTGGTTATTGTCATTTTTATATATATATTTTATATATGCATCTATTTTGTTCGCCTATTTGTGTGCACATAATATGACAATATCTATTTTTGTTCATCTTTTTATTGCGGTATGTCTACTTCTATCTTATTACATTTAAAAATTGCTCCTGGAACTGCAGGCAACCTAAAACCGGAGTCAAATTGCTTGTATGTTCTGATTCTGAAATAGAAACTTAGCACTAATGTTGGCATGTTACACTCGCAAATGACAACGCTAACATGATTATGTGTAATCAGTAATGTTTATCATCTTGGTTTAGTGTGTTTGATAAACACAAAGTACAAGTGAGGGTGATGAGAATATGATTAGTTTTGCAGGTATTTGGTCATATAAATATTTAAGCATAAAAACAACTGAAATAAGGAGTCTTAAAAGTAGCTTTTTGACACAGGAGTCCTTATTCAACAAAGGACTGCAAGATCAGGTAATAAAGCACAACTCATTTTAAAAACCATGAATCATGTGCTTTGTGCTTTAGTGGCACATATTCCCATAATCCCAAACAAAGTTAGAATTAATCAAATTTCCACAACAGAACTATGAAACTCACGGTGGTCTGGGGATCCGGGGTAGTTCCAGCCTCGAAGTGGAAACTGGCTTCTCAGTTTTAAGCTTAATTAAAGTTTTACAGTAGAGACTGTTTGGTTTTGACTGTTTTAGAGGCCTGAAAATGTAAAAGGTATCCAGATTGTTATAAGAAACAAGCAAAAATTAGAACTAAAGTCAGAAAAATACATCATGTTGTGTAGCAGAAACATGTTTTCATGCCTATAAATCATCCTGTGACCGTTGGGAACCTCTGGTATGAACACACACTGGTGTCATAAGATGCTGTGAAACTCGTGTGTGTGTGCTGAAAGCAAAACCCAACAGGGCTGGTTGTTTCAATAGCCCATAATTTATTTCTCAAGTATGCCATGTATGCATATGGTTGTGTGTGGATAACAGAATGAAGAGGGGGGAAATACACAAGATGAATGAACATACAATGTAAACATTTCAAATAGATGCTAGACAAAAACAAGAGGGTAAAAGAGCGTGAGATCAGAAGAACATCCGACTGGGCCTGCACCTTAGAGTGTCTGCAGGCCTCACAAAGTGCTTTGAATTCAGAGTGAAATTGAGAGCAGCTGGGGGGGAGGAAGAGACATGATGTAGGATATTTCACTAAACAATATGTGCAATGGACTGTGAGCATTCAAATGTGCAGTTTATGCAAGGTTAGTGCTCAGAAACTAAAAAACGGTAACAGCCGCTCTGCTGTATGTATGTATGCAAGCGTGATATTATGAGCACACAACATTCATTAACTGCTGCCTCTGTAGTGTCTGAAGCACACGTTGGCTAATAGTTAAAGAGGAGTTAAGTGTTTTATTTTTCACATTTCAGGAAGGCAGACTGGATGGATCAGTTTTCAAAGGTTTATGAAGGCTACAGTGTCAAAAAAAAACAACAGTTTTGACTGATGAAAATGACTCAGGGAAACAAACTGTTTGTCCCTGCGTGAAGAAAAATGTCTATAATCAGGAGTCAGTATGACACAGCTTTCTCTTTAAAACCAGAGCTTTACGAGCTGTGAGGCGGAGGGAGAAACTTCCTACTCATTCTCGGAGTCATAACTCAGTCAAAAATATATATAAACACATATTTTTAGATTCAGTGTGACTCAGAACTTGCCTGAGAAACATCACAATGTTACATTTCCTTCCGTATCAAAAGAATCCAGTGATTGTTGTCTGTACATCAATGGGGAACATTACAAACAGGAACGGTTAACAGCTAATTCGGCAAATATTTAACGGTGCCAATTTGTCAAAAATGTAAACAAATACAAACTAAAACACAAAACAATAACAGGGTTCAAGTTGTAGCCCACAGCTAACTGGATAACTGACTCCATGGCAACATTATACTTCCTGTTTACAGCCCCTAAATGATGGGATCTGTAGTTTCAAAACTTGGAGCAAGATTATGCCCCGAATTGAATTAATACAAAGAATAATAGGATTATTATTGTTTTGACTAAGGCTCAGAATGTCCCATCAACATGCTTCTTATAGTGTCAGACTTTGAAAACTCCTGCTTTAAACCAATACGTGTCCCTTTGCTTTTACCGTTTTATGTGAATGCATTTACACTATTATACTTAGTGCAGAAAAAGGTTTTTTTTATGGCTTTAACTTGTGTAAATAATCATCTTGGTGACCATGCATGCACCAGTTATTATACACATCATCTATGTTACAGCGGACAACAATATAATGTACCAACAATATCTGTCTACTGTGCCAGTAAACATGATCATGAGCAGCTTTCATCTCTACTGTAAGTCTCTATTCACAGGAAATTATCACACGTGTGACATTTTAGGGATGTTTACAGCTAACTAAAAATAGACATCTAATATTCAAATAGGTATACTATATAAAACAGATGTGTTTAAATAACCCCTGATATCTGAATGCAACTGGACAGAAGTGTGTGGTGCGCCTACAGGTAAGATTAAGGTTGAGTACCTGAACTAAAACTGAATACATCCTCTAGAAGTCAGAGCTTTGTGTCCTGCAGCAGAATGGCCACACACAGACAGGTGACTGGTTTAAAACCCTCAACGACAGGTGAGTAACATACACGTGGACTATTATTATCAGAATCATGATTAGGGCATACAAAGATGAAGATGTTTGACCTCATTAACAGTAAGTAAACTCTAAAATTCTCCTTAATATTACATTTCTCCTGCAGAGAAGGTTCACAGTCATAATCTGATAAACTTGTCTGATAACATTCGGATATCAGCTGTTCATTGATTCACACAAAGACACAGTACCAGTGAGCGTCTGGACGTCACAAAGACAAAAATCTTAGATGCTGAGAAATAAAGTGGATCCTATCAGAGAGGAGATCTTCACACTGAGCACCTCCTGTGTCAATAAATGTTGGGACAGTCAGTGTAATTCCTGTCAAAGTATCCACCTGTGTACAGCCAATCCTCGGCTCCTGTATGAGGGTTTGTTCCCGGCTGAAACCATCTGAGGAGACATAAAACAGGCGGGACCCGTTTTTAATTACAGGGTTATATGAAATATTACACAATACGAGCGATACACAGCTCTTGTAGCTTGTTAAAATTATGATTGATGTCAGTGTAACAAACAGCCTATAAAGAGAGTATTTTTATTCCAGCTGAACTGAACTGTTATGGTGTGAGAAGTTTTAGTCTTTTTAATATTTTTATTCTAAAGTATTTAACATAACAGAATTCCAAACTTCATTAATGCGCTTACAGGATCGTCTTTGTCATTCAGACAAAGATGACTTTTACGTTTCAGACAGAAAACATTTACAGAAAAGAGACACAATCCTCGGCTGATATTTGGCAATTGTTTTGCAAAAGGAAGCAGTATAAAGTACAGAATAACAAGCCACTTGGTTGGTATTCGGACCAAAAACCGGTCGGTGGTGGGGGCGTATTGTTTCGGATACCAGTGAGACAACAGAATGTGAACTAGGAAGTAACAGATTAATGCGTTTTAAAGCAGACACAAACTACTGTTAGTCAGTAAGGTTTTACAACACAAATTGTAAAACCTTGCTGAGTAACAGCATGTATGCGATTGGCAAAAGCACTGCCTTTACGTATGACATCAAGTTGCGGCAAAAGCTGATCCTGGTTAAACTTTTTTGCCGGAGTCCTCTTATTGGGAGTATATACTGTGTGACTTTTATGTAAAGGTGACTCGGGTGTGTTATTCTCATAATACATTATTGTAATGAGGTGCGGGCCTGAGATGGACTCTATTTGCAATCTTTTCACACCTTGAAAAGATGTGTAACTTGTAATAAAAACCTCAGAAACACACCTGGTTGACCAGTCCTCCTCATCCTTGGAGCGTTCCCTGCGTGAGGCTCGTTGTTTCTCCTCTAAGCGCTCTTTCTCAGTACTTGCTGCGTCTATAAAGAAACCCACAATAATATGAATGAAGAAGCCTTTACAGACTCATATAAGGGTTCTGTTAATGTGAGTTTTAGCTTCTCTCAGCATTTATGAAAGTCGTGTTCATGCGAGGTTGACGTTACCTATGTCTCCGTTTTCCATGGCTTTGATGTCGGGCCTCAGCCGGCAGTCTGTCGGTGCCAGTAGTCTCTCCATGCCGGGCTCCACCTCGTTTAGTGTCATGGCAAAGCTGGTGAAGTTATACATCTACACAGAAGGAAACACGGCAGAGGCTAGTGAGCATAAACATCTTTGTTTATTAAGTTAAATATAGCTGAATTACTCACTGCCTTTCATAAATCTGTCTCAAAACACACAGGTAAAGGAAAAGTGCCTGAGCAGCTCTGACTGCACGTCAAAGAAAATGAATACGCACTCTTGATTTAAAGATCCAGCGTGTAGGATTTAGTGGCATCTAGCGGTGTAGTTGCAGATCACAACTCTTTTTTTCTTTACTGAAGTACAATTTGTACAATAATATGGCAAATACACCATCAGAAGTTGGCTCTTTAGAAAACAGGATTACACCCATAAAACAGTCTTCAGTAAAGACATAAATGATTATTTTTATATATTTCAGTGATTTGTAGTTCAGAGCTAATTCAAGGGTTGTGTCTTAAAACATTTACATTTGTGGATAAAATTATTATCCTAAAATAAATATTCAACAGAAATTAAATTGTTTTTAATGAATATTATATTCAATTTC